AATCCTCAGGAAATCTGGATTTATTTATCAAAAGCATCATAATTTTGCTCATTCTTTGTCTCACTAGTTCACTTCTAGAAATGTATAATAAGGAAATAAAACATAGGTGATGACATGCCTACAAATTTAAATATTATAAAATGTATAATATTGAAACATTGGAAGCAAACTGTATTGGTTTTCTATTGCTGCTATGAAAAATCACCAGAAATTTAGTGGCTTAAAACAGCACATTAATTATCTTACACTTTTATAGGTCAGAAGTCTGACAGGGGTCTCAGTTGGCTAAAATCAAGCTGTGGGCATAAATGTATTCCTCCTGAAAGCTGTGAGAGAGATTCTGTTTCTTAGCCTTTCTAGCTTCCAGAGGACACCTACATTCCTTGAATCATAACCTCCTTCCCCCATCTACAAATCCAGCAATGGTGCGTTGAATGTCTTCTCATCTTGCATCTCCTGACCCTTCTTTCGTTATCCTTTCTTTCTCCCCACCCCCAAGATGTTCTCAGCTTTTAAGGGCCAAGTGATTAGATTGGGACCACCTGAATAATCCAGACTCTTCTCCCCATCTCAAGGTTCTTAATGTAATCATGTATTCAAAAACCTCTTTTGCCATGTGAAGTAACATATTCACAGGTTCTAGGGATTACTGTGTGGACATATTTGAGGGGCCATTATTCTGCCCACCACCAAGTGGGGAAAGTGGGGGTGGGTGGTGGTGGGATGAATTGGGAGATGGGGATTGACATGTATACACTGATATGTATAAAATAGATAACTAATAAGGACCTGCTGTATAGCACAAGGAACTCCACTTCGCTGTACAGTAGAAACTAACACAACATTGTAAAACAACTATACCCCAATTAAAAACAAAAAAACAAAAAAAACTTGTATGTCTAAGAAAAAAATATGAATTAAATAACTGGGATACTTGCTTACATTGGAATGTTATGTAGTCATTAAAGCTGTGTTGTATGCAGAATAACGATACCTAACAATGTTAAAATGTTAACTATGGGCCAGGCACTGTTCTAAAAGCTTTACATATATTGACATTACTTAATGCTCCCAACAACCTTATGATATATGTGTATTATTACTCCATGCCCCCTTTTATAAAGAAACTGAGGTACAGTTGCTAAGTGGCAGAGCTTGGATTATGAAGTCAAACTGGCTGCAGAGTCCATGAGTTTAATAGTTAATAATTTGGACATATGTTCTAATCTGTTGTTAAGTGAAAAAAAGTAGATTAAGATAGATTACGCATGATATAATCCCATTTTTGTACTTTCTGCAAAAATGAAAGATTATCTCTGGATGGAAGGATTATGAGTGATTATTTTCTTTTTTAATTTATTTTGAAAATACTGTTTCCTAATAGCTGTTATTTTCCAAACAAGAGAAAAAAACATCCAAGTTTGAACAAATATACAGTGACTTAAATGTTGGTTTTGTGATTGTAAAATTAATTGCTGCCTTTATGTTTTCAAACTATAATGAATGGAGACCGAGTAAAACTCAGAGTGAAATTGCTCAGTGGTGTTACAAAGCCAATGTTAACACATTCTCCCCACAGAAACAAGATAATTAAAAATAGCTGTGCCACCAGACTAGTCAACAAAAGCCCTTAGCACCTTACAGAGCTGAATAGTATATAACTTTATACTCATATACTATATAGTACATGACTAAACAAAAGGCCATTGCCATTCCAGTTTGAGGTGTCTCTCTCCTTCATGCACATCTACGGGACAGTTGGAATTCTCTCTCAAGTCTTTTCCACTAAGGCTCCAAAGATAACAGGAAATAGAATAGGAAGGGCATGGCCACCTTAAGGAATGGAACTTCAACCCTAACTACAGCACATTTTCACAAGGCAGGCATAGCGTATATGCTATCTAAAAGATATGATGTGATTTAAGTTTAGAGGTAATGAAGTACGATCTCAGTAAAGCTGGAAAAAAAGAGACAACTAAGTTTGTCATCATCCTTATAAATATTTTTAAGTCATCACTTCTGTACGGAATTCTAAAAGAATGACAAGCAAGTACAGTAAAATACCAATATGAAAGTACACAAAAGAAAAGCAGATTTTGATGTCCCACAAACATGCCTTCACCACACTCTAATTCTGCCACAGAGAACGTGTGCGTCTGTGATCAAGACATAGTTGTCCCCCTTTATCCATGGCGGATGTGTTCCAAGACCGCCAGTGGATGCCTGCAACCACTGATAGTACAGAACCCTGTACACAAGGGTATCTTTAAAACGAGCATTGCACCAACTTACCAGTTTCCTGTGAGTAATGAACGAGATGATATAGGGGCAGCACGTAAGGCAGTGGGTGCATGCAGTAAATGCAACGGCAGGTGCAACACTGAACGCACTTCTGGTTCACTCTTCTGAGAACAGTGACAATGATGTCAGATCAGGAATAAAAACTCCTAAAGACTGCCTTCTGCTGGGTTTCTCCAGAGGCAGCCCTGACACAGGATTTGAGTGAAGTGGTTTATTGCTGAGTTGATCTCAGGAAGCACCGGTAGAGCAGTAGGGAAATGGGGCAGGGAAGGGAAGGAAGCTAATTCAGAAGGCAGGAACGAGCATGCCTCAAGGTTTCACAACTCTGGGTTGAGAAAGTTGGGAAATTTATCCACCAACTCCCATCCATTAATGGGTGAAGGTTGCTCTTGAGGCTGTACCTTCACTCCCAGTCAAGCACCTCCTGTGGGCAGAAAAAGCCTGTAACAGTCCCAGGTGCTTGCAGAAAGAAGATGGGCATGTTCTAAAGGGCAAGAATCCAGGGACTATGCGTGGGGTGCTGAGAGTCAGCTACAGACAGCGTTATGTTATCCTTTTACCTGTAGAGCCTAAAGGCCACTCAGGCTGTTGCTGGTTGCAGGGAAACCATTGCAGGATTATAGATGAATCCACAGAAATGCACTGTTGCAATTATGAATTTTAAAAGGGAACAGAATGATTTTCATAATATGGCAACAGCTTCTTTAAGCATTAGAAAGCATTAACTTACAGATTTCTTTTTGCTTGGCAATACAAAATACCTGCACCCCCAGCAGCTACTGGACAGCTAACCTGTGTGTAGAAACAGAATAACAACGAAAAGAAACACTTGCCACCAGACACCTCTGGCTTCAGTTTCACCAAGTATTGTGGAGCAGCTATTACTTGTTAGGCCCTTCCATGGGTAAGAGCACATATTGGGCTCTCATCATTTCATTAAACTTCGAAAGACACTTTTCAGAGAAAAGGCCATTTACAAGTGGGGCGATTAAAATCGGGCATTCTCATTATAGTAACAAAATATCCACATTCTACAAATTTAACAAGTCAACAAGTCAAATCTCTTTTCCACTGTGTACAGTTGACAAATCATTTCTGAAAATTCAGTCCCACGCTTCTGGGGACTAGGGTCCCTATGCCCTATTCAATTTATTTATATTTAGTCATTCTGATACATCATTATTTACTCAAAGGAAGCAATCATTTGGGGTCCGTATTTGTGGTTCCCAGCATAATATTATCCTACACAAATACCATTTTCTCAGTAGGGCCAAATCCCACTTGCTAGGGAAAGCTCTTTGCTTGATGTGGTTTCAACAGTCTTAATCTCTTCGGAGGGTGTGGGAAGATACTTGCTATTTAGTTTCCTAAACCGTTCTCTTTAATTACCAATCTTGCCCCTTCATACCAAGGACTCAGTACCTCAGCGGATCTCTACACCACACTTTCACTTCCTGGGAAAGTTAGAAATGATTTGACAAGCGGCTCAGGTCTATAAAGAAAACACTGACCCTTGGATCCCGACACCCAAACCCCAGGGGACGCCACCTGGACCAGTCTGCTTCGCTCTTCAGCTTTTCACCCGCAGGTGGCAGCAACGGGCTCCGAAGCGTGTGTCTCAGCAGGTTACCGGAGCCGAGGCATAGCTTCTGGCTGGCGTTCCAGAGCGAGGGCTGCAGCATCCACCTCCAGGAATCCACATCCAGCCGGGACGGACCCTGAGGCTGAAGTACTTCAGTTTTGAAATTGTCTCTGATCCTTACATTTCTTGAGTGAAAACAAACAACAGTTTGAAGCAGCAACGACAACTCATTGCGTCCCTACTTCCCCCAGTTCCCAATTTTCCTACCAACTCCAGCAGCAACCCGGCCCCTTTTCCGGAGCAGGGTCTGTTCCGTAACTCTCTACGCTCCGGCCCTTGTACATCCTCGGGAGCCGGGTGCCGGGCGGCTGGCAGTGCGTCGGCAACCGCTGCGTCCCTTCTCCTCCGACCAGTCTGCCACACGGGCTTTCCGGCCGGTCGGGATGCCAGGGCTGCACTCCTATTTCATCACCCATCCTCCTTCCCTAACCCTCCTCTTCGTCCCTTTTCCCCCAAACACACAGGCACACAAGCTGCTCGGTCGCGCATAGTGCTCCGGGCTCGGCTGCGGGAGCAGGACCTGCACAAGCCCAGCAAGCTACGGACACGCCGCCCGGACTCTTCAGCCCGCGGGCCCCAGTGTCCCCACCGCCGCAGCCGCCGCTTCTGCGTCGCTCCTTCCCGCCTAGACACCGCCGCCAACAGCCCCCTCGGCTGCAGCCTCGGCAGGGCTGGAGGAAGTTGACGCTTTGGGAGGGGGCGGCGGGGAGCAGGTTGAAGGATTTGTTGTAGGAGGATTAACACATCTGGGCGAGGGGAGGGGCAGCGCCGCTGCAGGACGCGGCGCGGACCCGGCATCCCTGCGCGCAGCAGCCTCGGCCGCCGCTTCCCGGGACCGCGGAGCCCGGACGCCCCCGCCCGGCCCGCGCCCCGCCCCCGCCCGCTGGGCCCCGCAGCGCGGGGCGCAGAGGAGCCGCGGGCGGCGCAGGGAGGCGGGCAGCGCCCCGCGCACGCTTCTGCCACCCCCGGAGCCGGCGCGCGGAGAGCGCCGGGCGAGCGCGCGTCGGGCGGCGGCCGCGCTGGGGGGCGTGGGGCGAGGCGGCGCGGGGAGCGGCGGGGGCGAAACTTCGAGGCCAGATGCCCGAGGGCGCGGCGGCGCTGCGAGGCTGCCGCTGCTGCCCCTGCGGGCCCCGGGCGCGTCTCCGCGGGCGGCGCTGCCCGCGGCGCGGCGTGTGCACCGAGCAAGTGAAGGTATGTGTGGCGGGCTCGGCTGGAACTGCCGCCGCTACCGCCGCCGCGCTAGCAGGTCCTAATGCCTGTCACTTCCCAGGACGCTGGCAGCTGCAGCCCGGAGCCCACGAGCCCTCGGCAGGTTTGCCTGTCCTTCCCCGCGATCTGATTGGATAAAGTGGGGGCTCGACGGTGGCCGACGTGGGACAGTTTGGCTGTGGCAGGGGTCTCGGAAACCATGGGTTATTGCAGTGGCAGGTGCACGCTTATCTTTATCTGTGGCATGCAACTGGTAAGTGACACTTGGGTCTTCTTATTCTGTAACGTGCTTTTGAGATAGTGGGCAGGGGAGTGCAGTAAAAGGTCTGCCATTGATTAGAACGGAAGAAAAAAGAAAAGAAAAGGTGACAGATATATTGCCTATATTTAAAATGCGTTCAGGGAGACGCACTGTGGGGTACAGGACAGGTGAGGCCTTCCGTCCCCGCCTATTTCTTTCCCTCTGAAGACAGTTTGTCAGGTGCGGGTTAAACTTGTCTTTAATTTCTTTAAGCAAAGCAAGAGGTAGCTAGCTCTTGTTCTTTTATGCTTTGCGTTCCTATTAAGGTAACAACGTGGTGGTCACATGTAATTTACTATACAGGTGTTAAAACAAGAGAAAAAACGGAATTTTTGACTTTTCTTCTATGTAGTAATTTTTGCAGTATCTTTGTTTCTTCATTGACGTGTATTATTTTTCAAGGAATATATTGTCTTATAAGTATAATGCTCTAACAAACCACTGTGTAGTGCAGATGGTATCCTTACAGCAGTCTGATCTACAGGACACATTGAGTTTTAAAAGTATGTAGATTGAAGAGAAATACTTAGATGAACTCAGGGACAGCATTGCCATAGACTGAACCAGTAGCCTTGAAATCACAATTATTACAAACAATTCTAAGGAAAAATATTATATCTTACATTATCTATGTAATTGCTCCTGAAATAGATACTGTTGTCTGATCCCGTGGGTTGGAGAATTATATGTACTTTTTGAGGAATGTTGTACAGTTGCAAAGAGGCAAGGAGCCAATAATGGAAAACGTCACGTCTCTGAATTTAAATTCCCTAAGGGCAATAGAAGGAGGGGCTGAGGATAGTTTAGAGGTGAAAAATAGACCACCTTAAGTGCTTAATTTGAGGTAGGAGGTACTTGCTCACTCCGGTTATCAAACAGCTTTCCTTGGAAAGTATAAATTAATCTGAATAGCCACCCACATTTCCAACAATTGTTTCATAAAGGCTGAAAGGACTACAAGACTGGAGACGATATCTAAGAGCCCAATCAGTAACCGAAAGAGCAAGAATTTGCTGTTGAAACTGATAAGTGTTCTTCATTGTTTATCAGTTGTCATGAAGCCCAGGAACGGTTGTTGTTGTTTTCTTTAATATTTAGCTGAAGCAGTGCTTTTAGTTGTATATTGTCTCAAGAATGTTTTTCTTTCCCAGGAAAGTTATCTGATAATGTATATTTTGATCTGTGAATTACTTCTGCACTTGGTTGTAAGAAAAAGAAGGTAGAACTATAAATATAATTTTAAGAATGTAACATTTTCTCAGTGACATGTAAAACAGTTTATTTTTCTGTACCACATATTCGGTTAAGTTCTGCAATAAAGTTTTTTTTTCACTCTTAATGATAAAGCTGTTCAGAACAACGAGTTTACTTTGGAAAACCACCAGGAAGGCCAGGTGTGCCAAACTGTAAACATTTTCAAAACATTCTTATGTTCATATATGATTCAGAAAAGAATACATTTGCTGATTCACTGTGTAAAAGCATAAAGCTGTGAGAATGGGTGGGTAAGAGCACTCTTATGCTCTTTTCAATTTTGAATTTTAAAAATGTGATTTAGCTTTTAATCTGATAACATAGTAGGGCTTTATTATGGTAGATGTAGGCATTAGATCTATATGGCATTTCGTGTGATGAATACAAACTCAAGAACTTAAACAGTTTTAGAAAAACATAAATGTACAAATGGGAAGCTTAATATACAAAGTAGCATAATAAGGCTAAAGGTGTGTGTGTGTGTGTTTGTGTGTATATGCAATGGTGTGTTGGGGAGGTGTTATGTCACTTATGAAACAGAAATTCTGAATCAAAGCTAAGTTCTCTAACAAAATAGAAGTAGCAGTAATATAGAAGTGCTCAATCTAAGCAAGTATACATTTGAATCCTAAGAGGTATTTTAGGCTCTATAAGAATCATCTGATTTTTCCCATTCAGACTTTTTGTACCACCCGGCTAATATAATTAGCATCCATGTTAATGCAGATGCAGAAGAAAAAACAAAGGACGAAAAACATCCAATTGTTTTAATAGGGTGAAATGATCACATTTAAAGGACTCCAGAGATTCCTGTTAATTGTTGTTTCTTATAAATATAGTATTTAATTTTAAATAAAATAATTCTTTTGCAACTAGTTGCAAAGCACTGTACGTGTGCGTGCGTGTGCGTGCGCACGCACGCACACACACACACACTAGGTGGGTGTTTATGTTTTTCTTTGTTCTTGATAGCTCTTTGAAAACTTTATGTATCTTTGAGCTATTATGAGTAAAGTTTGTTCCATAAGTAGCCAGGTTTCCGGAATGTACCACTGATTGCCACAAAAGTTCCCCTAGTTTTGTTTACTTCTGTAGTGTTTAGTGAGCGTTCTCGTAACATTTGGGTATTTTTTTGCAGCTGGACAGAAAATCTTAGATTTATTAAAATTAATTGAAGCCAAAATTGTCTGAGATAGAAACTTTATTAAGTTTCTTTGTTAAGTAACTATTAAGTCCCTAGAAACATTTGACTCCAATTTTGTAAGTAGAGTGTTTGTATTTTAACTAGACTTAAAGCAATATTTATGTCTGTGTAAACTTGCAGCTAACCTTAGAAGGAGATGAAGTAGCTTTAGTATTGTGGCAATGGGAACCTCATTCATCAGTATATTATCAGAGCAGACACAGTGTTTTGATCCTTTAACAAGCGAAGGACAGAGACAAAAGCTCCAGAGAAATTTACTTGTCAGGATTCTGTATCTTTGCTTTTAATTATGTTAAATGTGCATTTAATTTAATGTTTGACAGACAAGTGTGGATAAACATCCATTCTTTTAAAAATCAGGAAATCAGTTTATAAGACAAAAAATTAGAATTTCATACTGTAGAGATTTAATATAAAACTTCCATTTATATGAAAAAGTGTCTGTCCATTTTATGAAAAAGTATCTGTCTCTATATATCATACATTAAAATCTTTGAGCTGAATGGTTACTCCAACTTCAGATTTTAGGGTGATTTCTGTGAAAAAGCGGTGTGATCTCTGGAAACAGATTTGCTGCATGTGCAGAATCCAGCGTCTAAGCTCATAATCTGAAGAATGTTATTTTATTTTTATCATTGCTGTCCTTAATGCTCAGAAACTGAAGATGTTAGTCACAAAAGGCATCACTGCATTTGCAGTGGTGGATATGGTGGTACAGGACAAGAACAATTTAACTTCTTATTTAAAACTTTCAGCAGTTTGTGAAAGAGTTTTTGCTATTTTTTTTCGATGTTTGGTTGAATCAAAGAGTACTTTATATAAATGTTGAAAAAAAATGCTCAAATATCTCAGATATTTCTCAGTGAAAAATCAGCCATAATATGGAAGAGCATAATTTATTTTAGTTTGAAAAGACAGCTTTGTTTTCAAGTAAAGAAATTAGAGATCGCCCACATTTTTGTACATTAGACTCCTATATGGCACAAAGCATATGTATCGTAAACTATTGAAAGAAAGTATAGATTTACATTGAACAGATTAACACTTGAAAATGCCAGTCTTGCCATGTGTTCTATGAAGTATTGCTAACTTGGAGCAGGTGCAACTAACAATTAGGTTAGTACACATGTGCAGCTGCCTGGAGAAGCTCATTTGAAACAATTAAGAATGATCAGTTGTTTTCTACTGCATAGTTTCTAAGCATTTTTTGGAGGTACAAATTTATTAGAGAAGGCCATGAGTATATACGTGGACTAAGAAAAAACAATTTTATCATAATTATGGAGTGTTTCAGTGGTGTTGATTGTGATTTTATGCAGTGTTCATGGTTACAAGGTCTTTGGTTACTTAGAATAGAGCATTGACACGAAGTGGCTTGAAGAGTGCTGGTAGAATCTTATGATTTTCCTAGAGTACTTTTGACAAGTTTGAAAGTTCTCCAGAAGTGTAGAACGTTATCTCTCACAACCCTCCCTCTCAGAGAATTTAAAATTTTAGATTCAAATGCCATTGGTAATAAAATCTTGAGGTCATTAATCGATCTGATTCATGGAGAAGACTAACAATTTCCACATAATATTTCAGAAACTTATTATGGAAAAATATGCTAAGAGTTTGCTACGTTGTAAAATAATGATAAATTTCTTCCTTTTAAATGTTTTCTGTTTTTGCACCCCAATATTGTCATGCATGTTTTCGTCTTTAATTTACTCTTTCATTATAATTCTGCACTGCTCGTCTCTAATGTTGACCAAAAAAGGATGTAGAAACTTCTTCCAGTGCCCAGCTCTGTTTCTTGGTTCACAGACCAAGGGTAGCTTCTTTTTTCATACACCCAAAGTTGCGTAGAACGCTGTTTCCCCTTCTTTCTCAAATAAAGGCTTGAATGGGCAACATCCCCTGTGCAGAATGCCAGAGTCATCTCTGGCTTGGGGCCCATATGTGGACAATGGCCCAGATATGCAAATAGGCATTGCCACCAGCTTTTCCCTCTGATGCTGCTTTACTTTGGGGTCAGATTCTCTACTTGCTCAGTCAAGAATTTCAGAATGGCAGCCAGGGACTCCTTAAAATAGGAGGTCTTTATTTCTTGGTGTGTTTCTTTCCTGTGCGTGTGTGTACTTGACAAAAATAAAATCTGAGACAGAAACACGTTTTAACATTTCTGCGTTTATACTGGAAATAAAAATATTAAAATTATGGGATCATTAAATATTTGTCTATACAGTTGTCCCTTGGTGTTTGCAGGGGATTGGTTCCAGGACGCTGCCCCTCCATGGATCTCGCCTTTGATCCTCAAGTCCCTCATATAAAATGAGGGTCAGCCCTCCATTATCTGTGGGTTTCACTAAAATTTCAAGGGATTTATTTCAGTTATTTAGTAGAATTTCAAGCAACTCAGTTTAGTTTTTCCAAAAATAGGTTTGAAAGTAATATTGCTAATAATTGCTTCCCTATTTCCATGCCTTATAGCACACAAATATCAGAAACCAAA